CGGAAGAGCTGTCAGCAACAGGAAGGAATCCTTCCTTTTGGACAGCATTTGGCACAATCAAGGCTTTTGCAAAGGCTGTGGTCTCCCACCTCTAGCCTAGCACACAACGAAACATGAGCAAAGAAGGTATTTGCCTGACATTATAGGTTCATCTACAGTGCTGCCACTGCTGCAGCAAACACCTGCCTGAGCTTACCTTAAACCAGCTAGCACAGGTACTGCCGACCTAGCTGTTGCAATACCAAACACAGGGCAGGCTACAAGCTCGTACCGAAAATCTGATCAGGCTCAAGAGAATTTTGTAGTTGCTCCTGCACTCCCTGTCACTGGAACCAGGCTCCCAGGCCTCAAGGCAGCTTGCACCCGCTCCGATTTGAGACTGTACTCAATGCAAAGTTTCATTAAGCACCTTCGGGCATGAAAGCAGGGTTCCTACAGCCCCATGTCCCACAGCACTGCACCTTCTGCAGCAACCACTGTAATAGCACAGTGGGGTAAATGCTGCCACTCTAATTTAACATCTTACACTGCATTTGCCCTCATGTATTTAACAGATGACCTAGCTGCATCCACACCTCTCCATACATCTGTCCACTCAACTGTCAAATAGGAGGCAGGTTTGGCAGTGATGCTCCAGAAAACCAAGAGCACAGTTAGCAGATTATAAGTTCTGCAGTGGCAATGTTTTAGTGCTGCTCCACTTACAGGAAAATACTTCTTATGGGACTTCTGAAGCAACAGCTGAAATACCAAAAAAGAAAGAGGAATCCAGGAAAAAGAAAGGAAGGGGAAAAAAAGCAGAGAGCAGTACAAACACTCTTTAAACTCCAGGTTCAGATAGGCACTTTTAGACACTATTTTCAAGTAATGTGACCTTGTGAACAAATGGGGAAGCAACTGATTCTCCTAATTACGGCTCTGCCATGTGCGCATTGCTGGCAGAAAGCAAGGACTTGGTTGCAGACAGAAAAGCTATAATGATAATCAAAGATGACCTGCATAAAGAGGCCATCAAATTGCCAATGATTCCTGCATCAAGCCCATAACTTATGGCTGAATTGCCACATCTTTGCTTAAAAGGCATCTAGTCTTGGATTAACGATTTCAAAGATGACAAATCTACCATATCCTTTGATATGTTGTTCCAATGCTTAATTGCTCTCACTGTCAAATAATTAAATTCATTATGCTTTTTCAACTAAATTAAAAAGCCCTGTATCATCAGAAATTCTCACTCCAAGTAGATACTTACGGACTATGATCAACATTTTTTTTTAAACTTTCTCTTCAATAAGTTTAACAGAGTGGGCAAATTAAGTGTCCATAGGATGATTAACTGGACACTGGATCACTCCCGAGACTGCTCCCAGTTGTCCTACCCCTTAAAAAATGTATGTCAGGAGTGCTGGGCACAGTATGCCAGTAATAGTCTCAACAACACTATTTATACCTCTTAGAAGTCCCTAGTTTATAAATCCAAAGGTTAACAGTAACTCTTGGCTACAGGATTGTTCTGAGAATTCCCAAGTCCCCTGGAACACCCACTGCTTTCCATTTTTAACCGAAAATTAAGAGAAATGAGCTTGGGAGAGGCAGATCTGACACAGAGCTGCCTGCAACAAGTGTACATAAGGGCTGCATTTTTTGGCCTTTAAGTGCAGGTTCTTCCAACTAGTCTCTGATAAAATGTGCTGTTACTCCCAAACATCAAGAATTCACATTCAGACCATGCCAGACTGTTTGGAAGAACATAATCAAATTTTAAGTGAAAAAGTAGTATGTCATTAGCTTGAGGTTTTTCTCTCCCCCTATAATTACAACATGGAAATAAATTAAAAATCTTCAATAGGACTGCATGACAACTGTTAAATATGACTTTTTCATGGCAATTCTGGTAAAACAGTTTTTAAAATCAAATTAAGCCTTCTGAGATCTAGATTATTACTTGGAGGCATATGCAGCAATGCTAAAGAACAAGAATTCCTGCCAAGAGGTGACCAGATCTCTCAGGAAGCCTGATGGCACGGGAAGCTGAGTAGGCCAGCAGTAAAACATACATATATATACCATACATGTACATAAATAATCCTAATGTAAGGATTGTAATAAAAAGGATCAGTAAAGACCTGAAAGCACTCATAAGCTCAGTCCACACACAGTTTTCTCACCATCTTTCTCTGTTCTTAGCTAAACAGTTACATCTTTGCTGTTCTTACTAAATTTTAGCCTTCCAGCAAGTAGAGTATTTAGTGGATGAAACTTTATTCTTTTCCCATTTCTAATGTCGCTGAATTCTGCCAGTTCCTTAACTTGAGCCTGTAGGTACAGCCCATCGTCATCTCCTACACTGAGCTTTTATGCTCTGCTCTACCTGCTCCAAATTTAAACTCCCAGAAAAGAGGCTTTGCTAATCTAGCACACTGGTCTGTGGTGAAATTTATTCTTCCTTAAAACCCCATCATGCTGGCTAAGAGCTGGTTCAAGCATACCTGGGCCCTTCCTCGCAAAGATATTCCGCATCCTTCGCTGCCCAGGTTACAACCAGCACCTGACTCCTCTCCGCAGAGGAGAGTGGATGGGTTCAAATAAAAGAGGCAAAGGCATAAGACAGACTGTGCATTTGGGAGTGGGGCGAGTGGGTGCTAGGCTATTTGGGACACAACAGACTCCTATCAAAGCAAAATGGCAACAAAAAATTACAGTGATCCATTTAAGCACAAAGCTCACAAATGCATCTGCAAACCCCCAGCACCATCAGAGAACGCTGCACAGGCATTTAGCCCCAGCAAGTTTCCTGCTAGGGAAAAGGCTGTTCCAAAGAAAACCTCAGATTAAGGTTTCTCCTGCAGAACAGGCAGCACAGGCAGAGCAGCTACCTCCAGTTCTGCCACCCCCATGGGCTATGTGGTCACTGGCACAGCTCATTGCAATTAAGGCTCCTGTCATGTGCCACTTTCTTCCATTTTCATGATGGATGGGTTCCTCCTACCCTCCCCATTCCTAGCACAAGGCACAGCATCAAACAGGTATCTATAAAACTGCTTGCAGCCCAGTAACCACCCAAGCAAACTCCTGCTTCTTGGCTTATGGCCTCTCTTACCTTCCCCCAGCAGAGGACACTCGTGCTGGCAAAGCACAAACAAAGGGCGTTGCAAATAGCAGGTGCTTCAAAGACCCCGATGGAGCTGATCACGAGTCAACATCTACCCAT